ATTCCTGACACAACAAACTGGGCACAACCCATAGTCAGCTACTTTTTTTTTCTCCCCTCACTCCCCGCCCACCTCATCTTTCAGTAGTAAAGCTTAATTTATGCATGAATATTCTGCACATTGCATCAGAAGAGCTGAAAGCACTCTATATGCATTTCCAGAGCACTAAGCACAAGCTTGGCACTTGTTTCTTCTGTATGGGAGACAACTTAAACACCCCTGTGAGTTATTTAAGAAGTACAAACATACTGCATTCTGTTTAAGTGCACGACCTTGGGAGCGAAAAGAAACCATGCACTTACCCAAACTTTATGTAAGCAAATCTCATAAAGTACAGAATAATTTGTCCACTGTGGATGCAGTGATATCAGCAACCCCAAAATGAACTAGTTCCTTTTGTTTTCTAGGTTCTCATAGCAGCCCTTTGACAGCTGCTTCCCCTTCACTGACACTAATTATTCTGCAGGTCAACAAAGTACAACTACATTACAAAATACAGAGGAGGATAGAGCTGAAAAATGCTATGCACTTAAGCAACATATGCACTTAACCAATATGCAGCTAATCTATTTTTGTTAGAAGATAAGCAACAGGCAAAATATTGGGGCCAACATCATATCGGGCATTTAAGTGAATTGCCCTCTTATTTGATATGCGCATAAGTAGAATATACTATAGATGACTTCATGCATTACTTAAAAAACATCCACCACTGCAGTGGAAAGCAGATACAACTGAGCAGTGTACAGTACCACTGCTTAGTTTTGGGCAGAAGGATACTGCATCTAACCTGAACAGCAAGGATGAACTATGGGAGGACGAATTTGGCTGGAATGGCTCACACTGTGTGCCAATATCCTCTCTGTTGTCCAAATATTTGAATGACACAGTGTTTCACTATGGCACCTACATTGCCTGTTTCTCGAGTTTTTAGCTACATTACTGGGTTTAGAAAAGGAATTAAAAAAGAGGCTTCAAAATGATTTTGTCCCCATTCCATTAACCAGAATAAAAATATCAGAATAAAAATAGGTTAATGAATAGTCATGAGAGAAGAAAGTTGGTAGAAATTCATGAATGCAGTGCAATGTCAGAGCATGAAAAGACCAGGCGCACCCCGCCATGTAATCATTTTGCCTGTGTTGAGAATTTTGTAATCTTTTATCATAATGTGCCAACTTTCAGTAATATCAATAGATTTACTCCTGATAATGCCTGCTACAGGCAGGACAGAATTGCCTGTTTATCAGACTGTTGTTCCCCTAATAAATTCTGGCCTAGGCATCGTTGTTTGTGGTGCTAGCACCTTGGCAAGAAGAGGCATGATGCCCAAAACTGGGTAAAGTGAGGCCACTTTCTGCACTAGTAACCAGCAGAATCAACTAGAGCATTGGTAACAGAAGAGTATATCAAGTCTGACAGTTATTAGCGTCAGAGCAAATTGCTCTGCTTGGAAAGGCTCCAGTGTAGGAAGTGTTCATGCCAACCAGGGTAGCAAGGCTGGGAGCCAGCCAAGTGGTCAAACAGGCTTCAGTAACATGAATACCAACGGTTTTAGTTGTGGTAGGTCTGCTGTAAGCAGCTTTTGAGGCCAGCATGCCCCTCATGAAGTGAAATCCTGTTTCCAAACTGTGCACCATCTGGGTCCGACAGAGAGAAAAGCAGCTGCTGTGTTCCTTTTCCCAGGAGGTTGGCCATGCCTCATCGGAAAGGGATGTGAAGAGGTTGCAGAGTCTCCTCAAGCAAAGCACACAAACACTAAAACATTGATGTTCAACTCATTGTAAACTTGGTGTCTTCAGACCACGTGAGAGAAAGAATGCCCTCTTTTAAAGGACCCAAATATGCTGAGCTTTGAGCTGACAGAAGATAGATGTCCTCATTTCTTGGACTCGAGACTCTTCAGCAATCCTCTTCATCCACATGATAATCGTAAAGACCACAAATGGGCTTAACAGATGGATCATTCCCTGAATCCCCATCTGCCCAAAGAAACCAGCCAAAACCCTTTTGTGGGACTTGCTGAGAGGAAACAGACCAGAAGTCACTGGGTTTCTTAGAATTGGCATGATAGGCTGAAGATCAGAGAAGGAAAAAGGAACGGCAGATCTTTATACAAATTAAAAACTCCAAAGTAACACATGCTCTTTGTTAGGTAAGGGAAGCCAATGTATGTGTTAACCAGTGGCTGGAGCACAAGGCTGAAATTCATGAACCTGGATTGCATGCTGCTACTCCGCTACTGACTCATGACCTGGACTTGCTTCGTCAATAAGCACCTCTCGCACAGGCCTTCTGAAGCAGAACGGACATTTGTAAGGCACCGCTTAAATGTAGCATTACTGTAACTTTAAAAAAAGATGGGGTTTCTTTTCACATTAAAATCACTGAAAGGCCACTCCCCATCTCCTTTGCCCCACAACTCAAACTTACCACCTTGCTTGCTTTGCAATTCTGTATTAGAACAGGGCTGTCCAACTGCTGGCCCAAGAGGGGTAAACATGTAGCCCATGGGCTCCCACTTGACTGCTGCCACCCATATTACTCTAGCTGCAGCAGCAACTGGGGCTCAGGACTCCCTCCTCCAGTTTCTACAGCATGCCCCGCCACAGCAGGTAGGGTGGAGTGGAGCATTGCTATGGTGCAGCCTGCTGTGTCAGGGGAACCAGAGGCCCAGACTGCCTGTGTGGCACAGTGCAGTGGGGGAGCCCATGGCCAAGCAGCTGAAGGCGAGATAGGCGCTCTACATAGTGCAGCAAGGGAGAGGAAGGGGACTAGTTCGGCCCCTTCAGCATGTGGCCCTCACTGGTACACAGTCATGGGGCATGCACGCCCCCAACTGCTTAGAAGCTGGACCATGCAAAAGAGGAAAATCATTTCCTCTTACTGTGGGGCAATTTCAGGTAAGACAGGTAAAGCTTGCTTGTAAACTAGTGGCTATGCTATGCTGTTGTCAAACTGAGGACTGCAGTTCCAGAGTTCGACAGCCCCTCGGGACAGTCACTGCTGGATCATTTAGGAACCAAGTCACAATAAGGCTGTCCAGCTGTCCCTGTAAGAATTAAGTCACGCTACTGTGTTTACAATGACAAAAGAATTCAAAACTAGCTTTCCATAAAAGGTGCATTTACTGAACAGAAATAGTGGACTCCCAAGCAGGGACAGGGAAGAAAAGAGAGAAAGTGAGCTGCCCCATGCTGGAGTTATGCCCTGAAGTGCAGGGGAAGGAACTGACAATTGGTAGGTAAAGGCTGTCAGTGGCTTCTTACTACCAGCTGAACAATTCATGGAGCACGTTCTCCAGGAGCCCTCCGACAATACAGACAAGATCCAAATATGCTTCCTGAACATGTTTTGCCCGATACACTGTGCGCCAATGATCCCTTTTCATGACCTGATAAAAGCAGTCATCATAACACATAAGACTAAGTCTTATCCTTGGTGTCCTGGGCAGCTCCATGACTGGGGCAGCATCAGCGTCCGCAGTGCTGAACACAGCAGCATGACCAGTCGCTGTTGCAGTCGCAACTACTTTTGTGCCTCCCATGAAGGCAGCACTACTGCTTAGCACTAATGTTATTTTTCAGGGACCTTACATGGAAAAGCAGAGGTGGCACCACAAAGGGAAGCCCCAGACCTTTCACATCTTGCTACAGTAGTACTGGATCTGATCATTTCATCAAGCATACTAGGGTGTGCTTTTATTCCACTTATTCCAAGCAGAGAAGAGCCCAGCATGATCCTCAGCTCAAAGACATACACAAGAACAAACCAACCTGCTTTATATGAAAGGGGGGCAAGCCAGCTTCACACTGACAAGGATCCAAGTCCTGGTAGATCACATGGCTGCGCCTTCACTAACCCAGTCAGAAAAAGATGCCCTTTAATTCTATACGGCAAATTGAAATCAACTTTTATTGTATTAGAAACAAGGTCTAGATTGTAAGAGGGCCTAGGAACCAATGAGAAGTAGGCCACAATTTGGGGCAAAGCATCCACACCAGAAGACAGGCAGGTGATCCAGGCTGACCTGGACAGGCTCAGCAAGTGGGCGGACGAGAATCTGATGGTGTTCAACGCCGATAAATGCAAGGTTCTCCACCTTGGGGAAAAAAAACCCGCAGCATCCTTATAGGCTCGGCAGTGCTATGTTGGCTAGCGCTATGGAAGAAAGAGACTTGGGGGTCATCACTGACCACAAGATGAACATGAGCCTGCAGTGCGATGCTGCGGCTAGTAAAGTGACCAAAACGCTGGCTTGCATCCATAGATGCTTCTCAAGCAAATCCCGGGACGTCATTCTCCCCTTGTACTCGGCCTTAGTGAGGCCACAGCTGGAGTACTGCATCCAGTTTTGGGCTCCACAATTCAAAAAGGATGTGGAGAAGCTTGAGAGAGTCCAGAGAAGAGCCACGCGCATGATCAGAGGTCAGGGAAGCAGACCCTACGATGACAGGCTGAGAGCCCTGGGGCTCTTTAGCCTGGAGAAGCGCAGGCTCAGGGGTGATCTGATGGCCACCTACAAGTTTATCAGGGGTGACCACCAGTATCTGGGGGAACGTTTGTTCACCAGAGCGCCCCAAGGGATGACAACTAGGTCGAATGGTCATAAACTACTTCAAGATTGTTTCAGGCTGGACATAAGGAAGAATTTCTTTACTGTCCGAGCCCCCAAGGTCTGGAACAGCCTGCCACCGGAGGTGGTTCAAGCGCCTACACTGAACACCTTCAAGAGCAAACTGGATGCTCATCTTGCTGGGATCCTATGACCCCAGCTGACTTCCTGCCCTTTGGGCAGGGGGCTGGACTCGATGATCTTCCGAGGTCCCTTCCAGCCCTGATGTCTATGAAATCTATGAAATGCACCAAGAGCTGCCAACAAAAAAACTACTGGGAATATATTTTCACTGCTCTGTGTGCAGTGACTTCCTCCTCTATATAAGATACCCTGACTGTTTCATTGCCTCAGTAATTACTTGCTGTACATGGACACCACTTACCAAGTGCTCGTGCCACTGCCAGGAATGGAATCTGGTCGATGACGGTGCTCCTGCGCACGGGCCCATTGTGAGTCAGCCGAGGTCTCTTCCAGACGACCCGATTCACACCAGACTTATTGATCACACTAGACATATTGTAAGTGAAGAATAAAAGGGGCAGGGCAAAGGTGGATAAGGGGAAGGAGGAAACAAAGAAAACCAGTCAGTTATGCAGTATCAGAAACAGCTCCCCCAATGTGCACCGGGTTAATTCTAACTACTGTGGTAGAGCCTACAGCACAGCCAAGCCCTTCAGAAAGGGGGGGACTACGATCATGGGGAGGGCTTGAGCTCAGCTTTGGCAGAAGGGACAAAGGAGACAGTAAGACAGCAAATGAAAAGCTGTAGTGGAGTTCAGCCTGCAGCTCATTCCTCCGACACCAGAGATGGAGAGTCCGTTTCCCTGAGATGCTGCGCTGGGCAGTACGTCCAATCACAACTGGGGCTGGTTGTCATTTTGGCTCTCTCAGCTTTCCTCACCTGCCCCAGCTCCAACAGTCCACAGAAACAGTGCATGGTTAAAAAAAACCCAAAATAAAACAAACAGCAGCATTAACCAACTCTTCTTCAGAGGTTTGCCATGTTGGAGCAGCGGCAAGAGGCAGAAATAAAAGGAGAACAGTCATAAACTGCCCTGAGGCAGGAGGCAGCAGGGAGAGAATGAACGAAAACAGCTTGGCGTTTCAAATGTAACACCTGCTCTCAGATGTTGAGCAATGGGATTAGTTCACCTGGAAGGAGTCAGAAGGGACAAACAGGCGACAACACTGCACAGAATAAGGGCAAGTGCAAACCAGGGATTACCCTGAAGAAGGGAGATAAGCCATTTATTGCGAGAAAGGAAATGGAATAAGGTGTTGGTGAAGCTCAGTCTTTAACAATCTAAGGACCAGGTATTAAAGTTTCCTTTATTTCATCCACAGCCAAATAAGCACTGAAAGGCTCTGAGGCAACCTCAAGACTCTTCGTGCTAACTCTATTCCACATGCAACATCCAGGACTTATATCAGAGATGAATAACACACCAGGGCTTATATCAGGGATGAATTTGGGCCCATCCAGTTGGGCACTGTAGCAGGGCAGGGAGGGTCACACACCATGCCCCCAAGGTTCCCTCGTTGAGTGGTACCACTAATGGTCAGATCGAGTTAATTCCACTCTGCAAACACAGACTTTTAGCAGGAAAAGCTTCCTCATTTTCACTAAAACACCCATTTCTCTTCTCCCATAAATTTTTTCCCACCCTCTTGTACAGGAAGAGATGTCCTGAGAGCACAGTCCCACCACACTCCTACTGGGGAAAGCTGATGGAGCAAAAGCTAGTACCCAAAACAATCTATCTGCTGAACTCGCATGGAGAGGAAGTCCCAGGGGATTCTTCCACTTTCCACTAGAAACTTCAGGATATAGTCAGCATCCTTCACTCAGTTTCAAAAAAGTAGGTTTGGAAACCTGTAACTTATGGGCAACTAACCTAGTGAAGGAGCAAGTAATTCTCTCAGAAACCTTCCATCCCAAATGCACTCATCTGCTTCCACCTACTAGGCACAAATATCTGAAGGTTAATGAGCGGACCGGGTTCTTGCATGAATGACATCAAGAAGAAAACCTTCAGTGATCTCCGTCTCTGAGCTACTCTGAGAAGAGAATAGTGCCTATCCATCTGGTGCAGAGCTGCAGAATGAAAGAATGCAGGGCTTCTGTGAAGCCTTGCCAAATTCAAGCACTGAGATTTGTTTCTCAACACATGCTGTCTGAACAAGGTTGCCTCCTTGCTCCCTTGGCTATGGAGAATGTGCAACAACCATATTCCAACTCTTTCTGATATATTTTAGTGTCAACCACTTCAGGGAAAAGAAACCCAAACTCAGGTTCAGCAAATAAACGAGGTGTTAACATTCAAATACTGGGCCTTAATATTTGAAGACGTGCACAGTGTTTAACAGGATATGCATGTATGTTTATTGATTTGGGATCTTTGTTTCCTTTAGACAAAAGCTTTGCAAGGCCTCTTCTACAGCTGCCACTATTACCTCCAGGCCAATGGAGAATACATTGGAAAAAATTAATTTTACTGAGCAGTTAGAATCTTCCTAATTAGACACAGAAGAAAAACTCTATACGCTCAGAGACCATCTCTTGGTACCAAAACTCTGTCAAAGCCTTACCATTTTCTTCATTTGACAGACGGAGCACTCCACAGCTCAGAAATAATAAGGACATTTGTTTCAAATACCCCAGAATCTACGGAGAGGAGAACCCCTCCCCACCACTCTTTCAGCAACATTTTAGAACCATGCCCGCACCCCGCACTTTGCCTAATGGTATTGCCAGTGGTTTAATTTATCTCACCCCATAAAACACCGGAAAATGAAAATAGCACCAGTACTGAAATGCACAGCAGTTGCTCCTTGCACAGCTCACAAGCTGGACAAAAAGAGCCAGGATGGTGGAGAAGTGCAAGAGAGCACCAGCAGGGTCACCAGACAGGCAGTGAATAAGCAAAACCAGACTTGAGCCCTTTCAAATCAGCAAGACTGGGATGGTGACTAGAGATGAAAACTGAACAGAGAAACAGTTACCTGCCCCCAAGTCCTTCGATTCTCTCTCTTTCCTTCGGAAGTTCAGGCTTGTGATCCTGCGTCACCTCCACAGCCCGAATGAAGTCGTCTTTGGGGTCATCCTGGACTCCCAGAACCACTCCTGAATCGCCAACATGAGCCACATACATCTTTGACCCACGGATAATTACCACGCTGGCAGTAGTTCCAGAGGTACTTGGGAGTCCAGTCATGGTCTTCGGCCATTCCGCTGCAATAAGAAATAAAAGCTAAATTTTCAAAGTTGTTAAATTTGTCACGCTAATTCCCTGCTATGGGATTTTTTTTTAAAGAAACACCAACATGCCCACACAAGACACTAAACTACCCACAGGAAAAACAATGTTTTACCATGATATCAAGAATTTACTAATGTCATATTCAATGCAAATCATGCCGCTGTCAGTCAAACAGGCTGTACAGGTTCTCCTTTCCTCAGGTGTTTCAAGCCTTACTGCAAACAGCTTTCGTGATTTCACTGTAGTTTCTATACTGTCCACATATTTTTTTAACAAAATTCCACAATGCTACATTTGGGCATAGTAAATTCTGTTCATGGGACAAAGGCTAGAAAAGCAGAAGGGTAGAAGAGCAAGATTAAGGGATATGTTGAAGAGGCTTGCATAAGAGTACAGTGGGATATGTTCAAAGGGATATGTTGGAGAGGCTTGCATAAGATTACAGTGAAGCATACCCACAGCCCCACAATGACTCCATGATCGTCACTATCCCAAGTTGCCTTCAACTTGTAAGATATTCAGTCAACTTCTCCCACATGGCAAGAAGCCTGCTGAGAAATGCCTTCCCCTAGTTTGTTTCTCAACCATCTGTACCAAAAAGCTGCTGCCAACACAGATAGCCAGCCAATGTCACAGTAATTTAAAGCCTCTCATAACAACTAGGGCCTGAGATTTGGGTGTTTCATTAGTTAACAAATAAAAGCCTTGCCCTCCTCCTCCTGGTCTGGTGGACCCACATTATAACATCACTGTTGCTGTTTCCCCCTTCTAGCTTAACCCAGAGACTTAAACAGGTCAACTTTTCATTCTGCACCTTAAGAACAAGCTGGCGCATCTTTTAAATAAAAAGATACTACCTTGTCCCTGTTCTCCCCTGCCTTCCTGAACTATTCCGTTAAGTCTTAGATACAGTCAGTAAATCCTACTTTTTGTTGCATACTATAACTGTAAATACTCCCTTCTTATACCCCGTATTTCGTGGACGGGTATCAGCTGCATTGCAATTCCTGGAGCGTCTCAAGGTAAATATATGACTAAATTAATATTCCATTATGTTCTACAGTGGGAATACAAACACTGCAGCAAAACCAGATTATATGGCCTTCCTGTGTGACAGCCCAGACACTTCAACTTCTGAAATGACATCAGAAGAAGGTGGAATTTGGCAGTGTACGGCCTGTAGTAGGAAAGACTATTCACTGCAAAGAAAGCCGAAGTCAACCCCAAAAATGTATATGCCTGTTAACTAAACCCCGATGAGAAATATTTCCCTGGTCAATAGAGATGAATTAGATAAAACATTTGGTAGGACTGCGTTTAAAGAGTTTCAGAAAAAATAACATGGACAGTTGCATTAGCAATACAAATGTTATGCTTTGATAATACCAGTCACAAGAGATCAAGCCTTGTTTGCAAACATTACGTCCCAAAATCTTTGTGAAAGGCAGACTATTTTCCTCCTCTTTTTGCAGATGAGGCACGGTGAAACTAAGCGATTTGTCGAAGTCGATACAGTAAGCCAACAACAAACATACACACTGAGCCCTAAAGCCTGAACCTCCAATCATGTGCTTAACCACTAGAAAAGTCTCTCTCCCCATTAAAATATTAACCGGATACCAATTTCCTCCTAAAAATCGCATTATTTTTTAGTATAAATTGCATCTGGTCTGATATAATCATCAAAAAATGCTTTTTCTAAAAAGCATAACAACTATGGATATTAACTGTAATACATATCAAATGGAGAGAGAATGAGTAAGGTAAGCAGGATTTCAACCAGTGCACTTATTACACAACAATTTACCCCAATAGGAACTCATTAGTAGCAACAGCCCCTTCACAGCATTAAAAAGATACATTAGAAAAATTGAATTAGTCTTAATGAAAGATGAAAGCCCTGTAACCAAAAGTCCCATTAAAAAGCAAAAAAGACAAAGCAGCATCAAATTTTAGACTCTCATTTAGCCATGCCCACGTCTATCTACATTAAAGGGCTTAAGCAAGTTAAACCTTGATTTGGTTTAGTGGTAAATGCCACACACAATCCAGCACAGGACTTTCCTCAGGGATTCAGATCATGCCTGAACAGACCTCAGCAGAGGAGTTAGGATTCTCAGCTCAATTACAAAAAGCTTAATGACTCTGGTTAAGTCGTTTACCTGCCTCAGGTTCCTACTCCATAAAACCAGGATATTTACCTACGTGATCAATCAAGAACTGCCACCCCCTTACAAAACACGTCTTTTGCCTTCATTAGGGAAAATGGTGCACTTTAACTGTGTTAAGTGAGTTGGATAAAATACTAATGCTGTCAAAGCAGTTTGTAGGCTTCACAGATTACACTGAGTTACAGAAATCAAGAACTTTAAAAATGTTTCACAAGAAATTTTATGGTTGCATCTTTTTCTTATGAAAACAATAGCTTCAGAGGCCCTCCAATGAACAATAACACATCCAGGCAAATCACATGGAGACTCCAAGAAATAGTGGGCCTAGTATATCAACGCACCAGAGTTTTCCTCCTTTCTTTGGGGAAAAGTACAACAAAGATACCATGAATTAGTTGAACTGTAGAACTTGGAGATTAACACTTCCCTTCGGGCACTAACACATCATCGCATTATGCCTCTGTGGTTTAATTTTTGCTATGTTTAAAAGTTAAACTTATTTATGCAATTGCATTCTGAACCCCCACATACTTCAATCTTGCAATGTAGTTAGCTAAAAATTGCCTCCCTTCATTAGTTTAATATCTATTCAGTATGGAGTTACACAATGGAAAAGCGTGAAAGAAAAAAGTCTACATGCTGAATCTCATTTTCACCCCTTCAAAAAAATAAGGCCTTTAATAACCCTATTGCAGAAACTAATTGTTCCACAGTAAAAAATAACTCAAAATAAAGCCAAATCCATTTCTGTTCCTCCAAGATGCAAACAAGTAATCTTCATTTGACAGGATGGAAAAAGAAAATTAAAGAGGTGTATTACAAGCATGCCTGAATCCACAACCTTGCAGATGATTAGATCAAGAAATCTTTTCATTTTTTTTTCTTTAGTTTGAGCTGTATCACTACTCAGCAGAATTATCCTCCAGGGGCCCTTTCCCAGCTGCTTGTTCTGTCAGAGGGCATACTGCAATAATCATCAAGTACCTAATGCAGATGTTATCACAATTTCACATCAGGGCCAATGCTGACACTAACTGTCACCTGCCCTGGCACCACAGCTGAAGTTCAATATTTAAATGTGACCACAAGTCTCCAAAGACTTCAGGTAATGTGCCATTAAGCATGCCAGCAGCCTAGCAAAATCCATCTTACAAGTTGGTTTTTACCCTTTTTCCCCCCCCACTAAATTTGCAAACAAGATGTAAAACCAACTTCCTATTGGACAAAGTCAGTCCAGTGTGCTCCAGACTCCAGCGGTCGAGACGATACAACGTGGTGATCATAAGTTATTTTTCCTTTATCAAATGCACTGAGAATATATGCCGCATTAGCAGCTAGAAGTGATAGAGCATTATATATTTGGGACTTTGGTGGACTTGCTGTCTGTCCAGAATTGCTAAAACAGCTTCCAAGAGTTCCCAGCTCCAGCTGCTGCTTTCCCTCCTCATTGAAAATACTATCCTGACTCTCAGATATTTCTTGCTTTTTCTCCACTCTGCGCTCCCTGCCAGAAGAAAGTTAACTCTGAAAAGCAAAAAACTGTCTGCTAAACTTGCTCATTCTGGCCAGTTAGCATTACTGAGCTCAAACCACGGTCAATCCGCACCATGGTGTTAATAACATTCTTTTCAAGATGTATATACATGTTCTTATTGCTGGTCTCAATCTTAAAAGGACCTTTACAATGTGTTCAGGTTTTCAAACAGATAAGCAAGATCAAAGTTCATCCAACTAAAGCTGGCACTGTAGTTCATTAAGGTCACAATATACTACCATCCATTTCAATACACTCCACTAAAAGTGGACAACAGTCAAAAAAATTATGAGAGAAGACTAAGAACAACTGTGTTGCCTGGAATTACAACTGTTTTGCCTGTAGGCCATAGTCCCACTTTCACCTATTTAGCATCAAAGGGAGAGCTGTTATTACATCCAGGTGCCACATTGGGCTAATGTAACTCAGGAATAAAAGCTGTTTGCCTTTGAGTCTTTATTTCAACCTTTGCAGTTACTGGCCTGAGATGATATTCTATGTATTAGGGGCTGTCCATAAAACCGATACAATAACAACACTTCCCGCCTAAAAGCTAGAGTCCAAGAGCCCTTGCCAACACAGTAGCATTATTTTTAAGCAAAGGAGTTAGATATGGGATGCCCCTATCAGGGAAAGCAACCTTGCTAACATGTAGTTATACTTTTAGTGTAGATAAGGTGTAAATTGGATGTCTGCAAACTGCTTAAAGATGGTAACAAATCTTCAACAGCTGCTGCTGCTTTTTCTAAGCACACCTACACAAACTGTTGTGTACGGTACTCTACAATAATGACCTAAAACAATTTAGTTTACAGA